GAAGATCAGTAAGACAGTCAAAACAGTCTCGTTCTTATCTTAGGATCTGTAAAATAAAATAAAATAAAATAAAATAAAATAAAACAAAACAACAACATAGTATCAAGCCAGGCTCAGTGGCACATGCCTGTAATCCAAGCACTCTGGGAGAGTGAGGTAGTAGGATCTTGAGCTGCCCAGCCTGGGCAATTTAGCAAGACCCTGTGTCAAAATAAAAAATAAAATAGAGCTGGAGATGTAGCTTGTGGGAAGGCCCTAGGTTCCCCCTTAGTACAGGGGGAAAAACAAAATAAAACCAGCTCTACTGGGAGTCACGTGTGGGAAAAATATGTGTGTGTGCATGCATGTGTGTGTGTGTGTGTGTGTGTGCAAAAAGCCTCTCTTGTCTGTAGAGAGAAAGCATGAAGGTGGTGGGGAGGGGTGAGATGAGAGAGGGCAGAGCGCAGGCGCCCTGGTTCCAGTTTTCTCTGGGCCGCGTTCCAGCCCCTCTGTGGCTGGCTGCTGAAGCCTGCCTTGGGTTCCGAGGGCAACACCCTCCTTTTCATGCCTAAGCTTGTTTGATTCAGGTTCCTCTCATGTGCAGCCCAGATAACCCACTGCCTATTCCTTTTATCTTTGAAGTTACTCAGAGGTATCTGCACAGAGGTTCATTTTTAACAACCTCCCACCTGTCTTCAATTTAATTTCCTTTAGAAAACTCTGGCCATGAAATCTGTACTTCTATGGGTTAGCACAGCTTTCCTGAAAGTGTATTTTGTGAGCTGCTCCATGGAGAAGAAGGTTTCCATGGCCAAAGGCATTTGGAAAATAAATGCTGCGTGCAGTATTTCTATCTTGGAGATTCATGATGTAGCATATTAAAGAACTCCTGCCATGAATAAATGTGGGTAATGCTGTTTAACCAGGGTTTCCTAGATTCTTTTTGGACCTTGGATCATTCTATTCATGTAACATATAATATCCTAAATTCCTGGAGTTTAAAAAACCAGGGTCCATTTTGGGTCAGGCTGAGAAACTGAGCCCACTTCTTTTTAAATGGCACATCATAGGGGGGCTCTGCAAGATATATTTGATCAATGGGGTTCCCTAATGGGCGGAATTATCAGTGTGGAGGAAGGGACATTTTTGATAATTGTTATAGAGTTGCCTCCTACTCATTCAGCATGTGCTTTTTAAAAATTTGCTCACTGGCGCCATATTGCTGACAGTGATCCTGCAGATCATTGCCACCTCTCTCAAAGGTCCTGCGTGTTCACTGGAATTATATCTACAGAGAGGGTCCCACACTGCTCCTGAACCTTCTAAGGGGTGAAGCTGTCCACAAGCCAATGCAAGACCACATCCAAATTTCTTTTTGAGCAGAGCAGGAACGTCCAGATATTGAGCTGGTTTGGGACCCCTGGGACAGGTATAGGGTATCTGGAATCTCCTCTGACTCTGGGATTTTTGGATTATCTTTCTGCTCCCCTGGTGTCATCTTCACCTTCCCTTGTGTATGTGTATGGTTTGCAGGGAGCTCTCACTGGACTCTGTCAGTCATCCTGTAAAGCCGAAGGGCTCTGTTTGTCTTATTCATCTTTACTGATGAGGAAACTGAGGCTCATCTACATGTTCTTAGTCACATAGGATGGAAAGCAAGGGCTGGGTTTGATTTTGTATCTTTCTGATCCTGTTATGCCACTTACTCCATCCTGTTACACTGCCTTTGTCATCAAGCTACCTGCTCCTTTTCCCTCGGCAGCCACATTTCAATCCCTTTCTTTGTCATTACTCAACCATCTCCTTCTTCTGGGCATTGAAAGGTGGGACTGCTAAGGAAGCAAGATTGGGTCAGGAGGGCTGCCTCCTGCTGACTTTGACAGGGCCAGGCCTGCAGTGCTCAGAGGCCCCAGCACCCACCAATGACCAAGCACCGAGATGTGTCCATACCTCCAGAGATGGCTTCACAGACAAGCATCCCTTACCTGCTGAAGCCCACCCGTCATCCTCCCACAGGTGTGCTGGCTTTACCCTCTCTGCCCTGAGACCCACTGCTCTCCTGTTAGCCTAGCAACCAAGCAATTTGGAGGTAACCAGAGTCTCCAAGGGGCAGATCATTGCTGAGGGGCTTCTCAGCCTGAAGACATGCATGACAGAGGAAGCCCTCATGTAAGAATCTGGATGTTCCAGCTGTGGGGCCCTGGGGGAAGTGACCGACTTAGTTTCTTTAATGGGGCCGAGGAGCTGTGCCTGCTACTCAGACCAAGAATGAGGAATGTCACAGCCCCAGGAGGATGCGGGAAGAGGCTGCAAATGCAAACAACCAGGAAGCTAACTGGAGCTCTATGAAGCTGTGTGCTACCTGCTCTCCAATATGGTAGCCACTAGCTCCTCGGGGCTGCTTAACTTTAGATTAGTAAAAATTCAGTGATAGTAAAACTTCAGTTTCTCATGATCCCTGGATACACCTCAGTGTCTTGGACAACACAGAGAGCATTTCTGTGATTGCAGAGAGTTCTATTGGACAGCACTGATTAGTTTCTTCTCTAATCAGTTTCCTCTGCCCACCCCCACACACCCTGTTTTATACCCATCCTTCTTCACACAGCCTGCTTCCCCAGCTACTCAGCCTTAAAGGAAATGGTTTCAGGGACAGCCCTGGTCTGTCACCCAGGGAGAGCTGAAGCTCCCAGCAGGAGGGAGATGGGAGTTCTCTTGTAGATTTGGTGCATGTGTCCGGCTTCCTAATGAGATAACATGCTCCAGAGATGCAGGACTTTGGTCTCATGCCTTCTGCATTTCTAACTATATTCTGCACAGTGTTGTGTACATGGAAAGTCCTTCCTCACCTTTATGAATTTGTCCTGAATTGGTAGAGTTCATGGCCCAGATGGACTAACTGATTGCCTGGAAGCTTAGGTCACCACAGTCCTGGCTTGGCTGTGAAGTTACTGCATGTCTTTCAGTATATCACTATTTCATTCCACTCCCCAGGGAAATGAGCAGGTTGGCCTGATCTCGTACTGTAGAGATGAACTCAAAAGTTCCTTCCTGGGCTGACCACCTGTGGTTTTGGGAGGCAGAATGCCGACTTCGGAGGGTGATTCTGCCCGTGGTCAGAGCCCTTCCTTTCAGCGGCCACTGCACAGATCCAAGCCCAGTTATCAGCAAGGAGCTGCACTAAGGAAGTTTGATGGGGGTCCTGGCATGGATAGTGTGTATGTGTGCATGAGAGTGTGTATGCACTGTCTGCACATTTGTATTTCCTCTTGAACTGAGGTAACAGGCTGGAGGGACATACCTAACTTCTGCTTAGGTCTTGGGTGTGGGGTCTCCAGGACACACTTTCTTTCCTTATTTCTCTCTTTTCCCGTAAGTGATTCAATAAGAAAATATGTTTTGGTGTCTGCAAGCAGGGCCACTTTTGGGGGACCCAGCTCCCCCAAGACACAGGCTTTTTTCAAAGCCCAATGACCACAGGACACAGCCTGGCCTCAGCATGTTCTGGAAAACCAGGCCCTGTCCACCAGCTCTCAGGGGTGCTGAAGCTCAGTGCAAACACAAACCTTCATCCCACTGCATCTGGGGCTAGAGGGGAGGTCATTTAATTTAGACAAGTGGACAGGATCAATGCAGCATCTCCTCAGCAGGCATAGGTGGGGCTCAGAGATCCCTGGAGCTGGAGGTAAGCTGCCAGAAGGCATCACTGTAGCGACACGTGGGAGGCCATTTTATTTTTCATCTGATGGGGCTGAGGACTCACCACCATGTGAGGTCAGAGGGCATGCTCACCTCTCCCCATCAGGGCACTCAAGGGAGAAGTGCTGGGAGGAAGTGGAGAGTGCGCCGGAGTTGGCAGTCAGCGTCTGCCAGGTGGGAGCCCTCACCACCTCAGGCATCGTGGCTACTGTGAGGCCGTGTCTCAGGTTCCTCTTCTCTTGGAGGAACTGCAGGTGAGGGCAGCAAGGCAGAGAGACTAAGCTGCTCACCTCTACCCCTTCCTCAGCTCCAGGATGAGTGTCCAGGAGCTCCCTTCTGTTGGATTTTCTCTCCCCTTTCCTCACTCTGTGCCATCCCAGGTACATTTCTTGACCACCCTGTTATCCTCCCTGCTATTCCCTGAGGGCAGCAGGACTTATTTCAGGTCTCCTTGGCACCTGTAGATTTTTAACTCTTGGCCATGTCATGACCTTCTTTTCCTGCTGAAACTCTACAGGGTCCCAGCATTCCTTGGCTTATGGCTGCATCACCCCAATTTTTGCCTCTGGCATGTTGCCTTCTCCTGTTTGATCTTCCTGTGCCTTCTTAGGAAAACTCTTGTGATGACATCAGGCCCATCAGATCATCAAGGACAATATCAATACCTCATTCAAACACCCCCACACTAAAACACTTTCCCTGAACCCCAGCCCCTGTAATAAGTGTGTTCTTCACTAGATTGTGAATAAGGACTTGGTCTTTTTCACTTTAACACCCTCACTTTTGTGTAAAGCCATGGTTAATGAATAGTCTGGAATAAGACAATGAACGCACGAAGTAAGCTCAGGGCCTTACACATGGGCCCACCAGGGGCTTGCACAACTTACAGCCCTTCCACCTTCCCCTGGTGAGTAGGAGCCTGCTCTCATTTTGGTTGGACCTCCTAGCTGGGTTGAGTATTTGGGATGGCTGGGAGAGGAAGAGGCTGGTTTATCCCACCCTCTCCTCCTGGAATCAGGCTACTCACCACTCAACCATAACAGCTCCTTAATGCCTCCTCTCACCTACCTCCCTGCCTACCTTCCCTCTCCAGTATTCCCAGTATCTGCCCTTCTTCCATGTAGTGAAATCTGAGGAAACCCAGGGCCTCATGGCCCATTTCCAAGGCATTTTCACCATTTGCTGGCATGTTGTCAGTCCCTTGCTGGAGAACAGCCCTTCTAGGATGGGCCAAGACAGCCCACCTGGGCCAGACCAGCCTTTCCGAGCAGGGCCTGTACCCTTTGCCCCACCCAGTGTCCCAGTCCCTGGGCCCAGCTCACCTGTCTCTCCCCAGATGGGCAGGTACTCATCTTGCTGAATGTCCAGCATGATCTCCAGCCCGTTGCCCGTCCCCCCCTTGACCGTGGTGAGCAGAGGCTTGCCATCCTCGCCTGAGTTAAACATGTAACACTTCCCATATTTTGTAAACACCTGAAGGAGAGAAGAAAGAGAGAAGCACATGTTGACTTCACACTGGGCTCCAGGGATCGGTGAGACCCAGAAGTCCCACAGCAGGTCAGGGTCCCCACAGCCATCACAGTCAACCCTTCTTGAGGCCCATGATTCCTTGCTCCTGCTAATGGCTGGATATTTGCCAGGAGCGAGTATGGCATCAAAGAACAGATGTGGACACCCTTTGGAGTTTGTTGAATGGGATCTGGTCTCTTCTCCCTCTAGGCATGCTCCCAGGAGGTTCTGTCCACTTCCAAGCGTTGAATTTCATCTGTAAACTCCTGATCTTCCACCTACGCTTCTAGCCATTGCTCTCTTCCGGGCTCCAGAAAAACAGATCCCACTGTCTGCTAAGCATCTTCCCAGAGTCCCACAGACATCCCATGCTGTGTGTCCCACAGGGACAGATCTGCCTCTGCTTCCCTACCCCATCAGACATTTCTGTCACATCTCACACCTGACAGCAGCAGCACCAGCTTCCAGGGGCTCAGGCTGGACCCTTGGAGTCACATTGTCCACTTTTCCTCTTCCTTACTCCCATGGGTAACCAACCAGCAAGGCCTGCTAACATTTATAGCGACCTTGAATTTGGCCTTTTCTCCTCTATATTTCTGTAATTTAGGACCCAAGCATTTCTTGCCTGGCCTGCTCTGGTGACTCCAGCAGGAGACCACAGCAGGTGTCCTGGATTCCAGACAACTTTGCCTAGCTCATCTTCTAAGCTAACTCTTTCTGAACTGCAAGCTTGATTACATTAATCCTGTGCTAATCTGCCTGGGCTCCCCTATCCTCTCTCGGCTAACACCCAGAGTCTCCAAACTGTGTCTACTGCGATGCAATCTGCCTGCTGCTTCTACTTTCCACCCTCTTGCTTACCACTGAAGCCTACAAGCATCTGCCAGAGGTACATCCTACGGGTTCAGTGACTGCATCTGCTTCCTTCATATCTTTTTCTGGTGGCTAGCACAGTGCCTGGTACATGGTGGTGCTCCATAAATATATGCTGAATGAATGAATGAATGAATGAGTGGGTGGTAGAGCTTGACTGAAGAACTTGAATACCCTGGGACATGCTCAGCTGGCTCACACACTACTGGCTTTCTACTTGCTAACTCCTCTCATTTCTCACTCTGCCTGAACATGCTCTATACGTCTCTGTTTGGACAACCTCTAACTGTTCTTCAAGACTGGATTGGTGCAACTGATCCTCCAGGAAACCTTCCTGAAGTCCTAGCTCAAGCTGGGTTGCTCCCCACTTTTGGTTTTCCTTATTCCTTGACCAAAGCACCTACTGCACAGCACGGAGTAGTTGGTTCTGATACTGCCTTTCATTTTTCAAATCCCAGCCTTTAGTATGTTGCTGCCACACAGCAGGGGCTGAGGCCACTTTTGCTTGATGAAAGTGTGGTTATAAAGATGCAGTGTGTTGGTGTGGGTAAAGTCCAGGGCCAGAAACACCGAGATCTTTGCTCAAGTTTTGACTTTGTTGCTTACTAGTCACGTAACATTGGGCGAGCTGCGTAAGCCCTATAGGCCTCAATTTCTTCATCTATAAAATGGGGTTTTTATTCCTTATCTTGACAGTAGCTTGTCAAGGTTACTGAGAGGGTCAAATGAGGTAATGCACGCAAAATGGCTTTGAAAACTATCACAGCTTTCCTACAAATGCTATGGGTTATTATGATTATATAACTGCATTGGAATCTCTAGTTGAAGCCAAATTACATCCAGCAAAATTGGTTTGGAAGGGATCCAGGCTAACTGTATTGGATTCCTGCACCCACTGAGATCCAGACCACTTCCCTGCCCCTGCACCACGTGGTCTCATCCTGCAGCATGGAGGCGGTGGGGAGACCCTTCAGCTTCCCATTCGTCAGTGAGGGGGCAGGTTAATAGTAGGTGTAAGAGCTGAGGCTGCCTCTCTCATGCAGATCTCGATGACTAGATGGAAGGGAGAAAAATGCCCCTCCACCACGTGCCAGACACTCACCTATATCATGTTATTAGCCCTCACAACTGTGATCCTGGCTGGGTAGGAAACCAAGATGCAGAGAGGTTAAGTGACTTGCTGAAGGTCATATAGTTAGTAAGTAGAGAAGCTAGAATTCAAATCCATATCTGTTTGATTCTTACACATGTGCTCTTTCTGGGTGTGGTGTCCTGGGAGGGTCACAAGGGTGTTTGGCATTGGGTCATTTGCCAATGGAAATGTATATTTCTGCTCTCTGCCTTGTTTTTTTTCTGTCAACCAGTCCATATTCTTAAGCCCAACTTAAATCCATATGCATGATGTGCAAGGATTGTGGCAAATGCAGAAAAGTACAAGGTCTCCCTTGTAAGAAGGGCTAGCAAAACACTGGGTTCTATGCTTTTCTTCATGTATTATTTCAGAACAACCAAGCCTTACTCTCTCAGCTTCATGGTGGTGGTGGGGGAACAGCTGGAATCAGGCAAAGTCCAAAGCAAAAATAGTTTTTCAGAGAACCGAGTTTATCATCACAACTGCATATAGTGATTGAACTTAGCTAATGAACTTGTTCCCTGGAGAGATGCTCTTGGCGACTACTGTAATGAGCAGATAAGAGCATTTTAGAGTTAGCAATTCATTACAAGGGGTTCCACACATCTGGAACTTTTCTTTATGGATATTGTAAATGTCCACGTGTCCAAAACTGCTTAAAGTTTTTATTTGTCTGTCTACATAAAAAGGTTTGAAGCAAAAGTAAATTTCAGCTCAATATCAGGTGACTGCAAATTCCAATTCCCCTCATCTCTCCTCTCCCACCATTTGGTCCTTGAACTTCAGAATTTTGGGCTGGGCTTGGAATGTGGGGTCTTCTCCTGAAATTACCTGTGATCCCACCCCTGTCACCAACATGCCAAGCGGTGCTAGGAAAAGTACTGACTCTCTGTGAGCCTCTGAGGATGATGACAAAGTATTAGAACTGAAAGATCTCACTCACTCACCTGAATTTATAGATAAGGTAGAGAGGGTGAGACTTAGAGACAGGCAGTGGCTTGCCTGAGTTTATAGCAAAGATTTGTCCAATGAGGATAGTAACTCCTTGTCCAACACATTGTCCTTCCTTTATTCTGGCGTCCTTCAGCTTCCCACTTATGGGAAGAGTTGGAGGATCTAGGGGGTTGCTATGGTCCTTCCCATATGAACTTCAGTTGATCATTGAGTGATTAATGCAGGTCAGTAAGCCATTCCTCCATGTATTGAGCCTTTCCATGTGTGATTTCAGGGACCATTGAGTGTCTGCTGTGTGCAGACACCAAGTGGCAGCTGAAGCCCTGGGTGCTATAGTCCTTCCTTCTACATGAGTTAGCCAATAGGTTCTTACAGTGGGCGTGAACGGAGATTCACGCCCTACCTTGACAGCAACCTTGCTGGGCCTGTCATTCATGCTGACCTCAGTGGCAGCTCTTGCTGGTGTTATGATGTCAGGCTGATTTTTCTGCCCCTTCTCCTGGAGGTGGGGAGTTGGGCCAATTTCATAAATGGGCCAGTCTGAGCTGACCCAGGTCACAGTTGGTCAGGGGTGGAGAGCCAGAGAGCAACTGTAGCCAAGTCTGAGAGAGATGGACAAGTGAGAGTATAAAAGCCAAATTCTTTACCAAATCAGGACCACCAGGAGGAAGCCTAAAGCCCTCTGGTGGCCTCCTGTTGTATTGAGGTCAAGTCCCAGGTCCTCACCAGAGCCCTGTGTGGTTCAATCCATCTCTCTTCCTCCCTATTATAACCTTCACACATATTGGTTTCTTCAGTCCCCAGGTGGTCAGCGAGACCCCTTTTACACGCTGTTTCTCCTGCCTAGAATGTTCTTCCCACATACTTTGCCTGACAAATCTCTGCTCAGATCTCAGCTTGACAACCACTTCTGAAAGGCCTTGCCTGACCATCCTATCCTGGTTCCACCTCTACTTAAGTTGGGCCTTCTTGTTTCCAAACTGCCTATAATTTTCTGTTATAGTGTATATCAGAGCATGCAGCTAGGTGGCTATATTATGTGATTATTTGCTGAACATGTCTTTCATATTCTATATAAGCATTAAGAAGGCAGAGATAGTGTTTGTTTTATAGAACGAATGAATGAATGAATGAGTCCTAAGAGTGCTGCTGCTCTGAATCCCACTGTCCACTTCTGGGAGGTACCCTTTGGTGCTGCTGACCTTACTTGGTTCTGGCCAGAGCTCATGCTGACATCTTGTCCTACCCTGTTTCTCAGCTGAGGCCTGCCCAGTTTCCCCTTTACACAAATGCCCCTAAGCATTTATGTTTCCTTCCCCATGAAGGCATTAGAGGAAGCAGTCTTTTTAGGAATATAAAGGATGAGGGGTAGTTTACCTTTGTGGGTGCAGGCAAAGGAGCTCGGGAAAAGCACAGTCCCTGCTGGTTGCGTGTTTTTGCCAGCTGCTCCTGCCTGGCTTTCTGAGGATTATTTTCTGCTCTGCTCAACATCAAACGCTGCTGAGCTATTTGCACAGAGCACAGTTTTGCTGCAAACTTGGGGCAAGATGAGGTTCTCCTTCCTCATTTAGGGCATAATGACCTGTAAGTATAACACACACTTCAAATTTATACTTTATTGCCACCAGCCCGAGAACACAATTTATTTAAGTCCAGACTATCAGGCTGAGCCCTCTGCATTTCCAGACCTGCAGTCATTCCAGGCATTTCCATGTCTTTCTTGCGAGAGCTGACAGCACCATTGTGGGAGGCAGGGTTGGCTCAGCTGGGTGGCTAAAAGTCTAGAATTGCACTTAGTTGGATGGGTTTGTAAGAATTAAGAAAGGTGTGTATTTCAAACTGGGATTTCTTGGAGTGAGGTTGGCTCCTGAGCTAACATGGGGCTCTGCAATCATCCACCTCATCGCTCACATTTGCATGGTGCATTATTACTTAGAGACCATTGTATTCTTTCAACTTTGGCAGTGGTTCTGTGAAGCTGGGAGGAAGGAAGCTAGCAACTCCT